ATCGGTTGCGCGCCTCTTGGCGCATAGGTTGCTTGTATCGTGGCCCATCGGCTGTTCGTCTCGTGCCCATTGGTTGCTGGCCCGTTGGCCTATCGGTGGGCCATCGGCCGCTCGTCTCGTGGCCCATCGGTTGCTCGTCTCGTGGCCCATCGGTTGCTCGTATCGTGGCCCATCGGTTGCTTGTCTCATGGCCCATCGGTTGCCTTTTCTCGTGGCCCATCGGTTGCTCGTCTCCTAGCCCATCGGTTGCTCGTCTCATGGCCCATCGGTTTCTCCTCTCTATCTTGGACCGTATATGATGGTTGCACAAGAAAAGCGACAAGAGGTGCATTGGCTGCACTGCCACACCATGTTACTGTTGTCTCGTGGCTCCAATCAACAATTATATTGTCGAAGCGTAACGATTACCGGTAGTGGAAGGTAAATTACCTTGACATTCGGTACATGTTTGACTTTCCCCCCTATTGTTCGGAATGTGTGACGAAACAAGTCATCGTACTAGTGAATAATGGTTGCATGACACTCTCTCCTTCCTCGTCGTGCAGTGTAGGTGCGTGATAAAGTAGGATCCCATAGATGTCCTTACTACCGGTACGGTAGTTGCACTCTACCAACCTTACCAAAGTCAGTCAAATAGTTTGTGGCTTCAACATCCGATTAGGACCAAAATTGCTCCATTTTTTTTTTTTCACTATTATCATATTGTACACATAATAGCCAATGATACTACGGATCCACATACACAATAACTGGGGTTTTCCCCATCTCATCGGGTCCGCAAATCCTCCCTCCCTAAGAAGGTGGCCCTCTGGCCAGCATACTTAGAACCTTAACTTAGATTTTTTTTTTTTTTTTTTTGCCAAATATCGAAGTTCACGGACCTCGGTCCCCTTCCCCCCCTGGGGGCGGCTCTCAGGCCAACTTGGGGACCCCCGGTCCCCTTCCCCCCCTGGGGGCGGCTCTCAGGCCAACTTTGGGGACCCTCGGTCCCCTTCCCCCCTAGGGGCGGCTCTCAGGCCAACTTGGGGACCCTCGGTCCCCTTCCCCCCCTGGGGGCGGCTCTCAGGCCAACTTTGGGGACCCTCGGTCCCCTTCCCCCCTGGGGGCGGCTCTCAGGCCAACTTGGGGACCCTCGGTCCCCTTCCCCCCCTGGGGGCGGCTCTCAGGCCAACTTGGGGACCCTCGGTCCCCTTCCCCCCCTGGGGGTGGCTCTCAGGCCAACTTTGGGGACCCTCGGTCCCCTTCCCCCCCTGGGGGCGGCTCTCAGGCCAACTTTGGGGACCCTCGGTCCCTTCCCCCCCTGGGGGCGGCTCTCAGGCCAACTTGCGAACCCTCGGTCCCTTCCCCCCTAGGGGCGGCTCCCGGCCCCTCCTTTCGATGTGCGTGCAGTTGATCCCGTCGTCGTTGCAATTTTTCCGCGCGACTTCAATCAACGGCTTTCCATCTTGTTCCGGTTTTTCTGCCATCAAGAGAGTCAAGGGGGTATCGAGATTTATAGGCAATGAGAGTAAAAATTAGAACTGGAAGAAGAAGAAGAAGAAGAAGAAGAAGAAGAAGAAGAAGAAGAAGAAGAAGAAGAAGAAGAAGAAGAAGAAGAAGAAGAAGAAGAAGAAGAAGAAGAAGAAGAAGAAGAAGAAGAAGAAGAAGAAGAAGAAAAAAAAAATGAAAAGAAGTTGAAACGATTTATATGCAACGAAATAATTGGTGAGGTGACATGGGGTGCTCCACTGGGATCGTTGGTGGTTGACGCCCAGTCAAACGCCTTAGGCGCGGCAGTAGCAGTTTCTTGACTGCCGTGCCACTGGCCATTTCGTCCATGGCGATTTCGCCACTGGTGCAAATGGCCATTTTGTCAGAATGTTATGCTCTAGCCTGTAGTGGGGTGCTCTATAGCGAGTACAACCCTTCTAGGGTTTGCTATTTGTATCCTCATTCCTGCTAGTGAACCCTCTCTTTGCCTAAACTGTTTCTTGCCTAGCTAGGGCTTTCCTAGCTATGGCGCCTTCTTCTACTGCTTATCTTCACATGGTATTAGAGCGATATGCTCCTGGCCTGTGGGCCCCACCTCACTGCTTCCGCTGCTACTGCTACTCTCTGTGTTGCACGCCCCGTGGCGTGCAACGGATTTTTCATCCCGCCACACGCTCGGAGCGTGCGGCGGTTTTCTGCCCGCCGTGCGCCCCGAGGCGCGCGGCGGTTTTCTGCCTGCCGTGCGCCCCGAGGCGCGCGGCGGTTCTCTGCCCGCCGTGCGCCCCGAGGCGCGCGGCGGGTTTCTGCCCCGTCACGCAGCGCGTCGCTCCCGGGAGGCGCTGCGACGGGCGACGGGGACCCGCGCGTCGCCCCCCGTCACCCGTCGTGGCCTGTGCGCGGCCCGTACAGCCTGCGCGCGGCCCGTACGGGCTGCGCCAGGCCCGCGCGCGGCCAGTACGGGCTGCGCCAGGCCCGCGCGCGGCCCGTACGGGCTGCGCCAGGCCCGCGCGCGGCTCGGGCCGCCTGCGCGCGGTTCGGGCGGGTGTGCCAGGCCCGTGGGCGGCCCGTTCTTCGCTGCCCCTGCGCTGCCCGCTGTCCCCCGTGCTTCTGATGGCGCCCCACCCCTGCTACTGCCCGTTCTCCTGAATTAGGGTTTGGGGGTGGGGGGCATGGGGGTGCAGCTTCTGTGTGCCGTCCCCTGCTCCTCCTCCTCCTCCGTCTCCCAGTGCTGCAGCTGCCGCTGAGGGGGGTGGACCTGTTGGAGCCGTCGGAGTGGTACTAAGGGGGGTGAAGGGGGAGTGGAGCTAGGGGTGAAGCAGGGGGTGTGTGTCAGGGGGGGTGGGACTGTTTGGGGAGGTTGAACGAAGGTTGCCGTCGTGTCGCCAGCAGCACCTGTAGTCCGGGGAGTTGCTCCGGTAGCCCAGTCGCAGCCACCTGTGCCAGTCGCCCGTGGGTCCGTTGCTCGTCTGCCGCTACTTTTAGCCGCGGGGCCAGTTACTCCAGCAGTCCGGAGCGCTGTTCCGGTAGCCGCTGTGCCAGTGTGCCTCCTGTTGCCCGTGTGTCTGCAGCTTCAGTCGTCGCCTCCTATCTCCTCTCCTCTTACAGTCTCGCCTCCTCCTCCTCACTTGCCCTCTGCGATAGCCTCTAGCTTTGCTCATAATTGTGAACTTTAAACTATTGCTTCTTGTACTTGTGCTCAGAATGTGTGGTGACATTGTGATCCACCCTGAGCTTGTTCTGCTTTGCTTGCTCTGCTGATTACACCCCACTTTGGCTATGGGGGTGTGTCAGAATGTTATGCTCTAGCCTGTAGTGGGGTGCTCTATAGCGAGTACAACCCTTCTAGGGTTTGCTATTTGTATCCTCATTCCTGCTAGTGAACCCTCTCTTTGCCTAAACTGTTTCTTGCCTAGCTAGGGCTTTCCTAGCTATGGCGCCTTCTTCTACTGCTTATCTTCACACATTTCGCCACAGACGCGTGCCACTGGCGCAAGTGGCGATTTCGCCACACCCTCGCGCCAGTGGCGCAAGTGGCGATTTCGCCACACACGCGCGCCAGTGGCGCAAGTGGGGATTTCGCCAGACACGAGCGCCACTGGCGCAAGTGACGATTTCGTCACTAGCGCACGCCACTGGCGCACGTGGCGATTTCGTCACTGATGCGCCAGTGGCCGTTGCTTCATGCGCACTTCTTTCTCAGTTGCGCGTACGCCAAGTGCATCGCGGGCGCAATGCTGTACCCTCCGCAGTTGACGCGCGTAGTAGCTAATGTATAAGTTACGCTGCTGCAGCACTTGTCCTAGCGTTGCCTCCGTGCTTCTAGAGTGAGAATTAAGAATGAGTGAGAATTAAGAGAAGTTGTGAACGGAAGTGGTTGGACGAGAATGAAGCGGAACTGAAAAGTTCCGAAATGAAGACGTGGGTGGAGGCCAAATGGCCTCCAACCCTCGTTATGTACTCGGGAAGAGGCATTCGCAGTTGCCTTGCTTCACTACAATCAGCTGCGCTTTCACAATCTTTATTTTTAGAAAGTGTTTCACACTTTCAAAAAAATTCATATAAAAGTATGTTCTTGTCAGCTGACTTATGAGGGCCTGCTTTCACCCCTTTGATGCAATCCTTGTTTGTTCGTTGGGTTGCACCTATAACACTGGTACACCTAACTTCCGCCAATTTAGTACTGGTATAACCTTCACATTTTCTAGTTCGAACCATCAGAAACAAAAAAAAAGGGATATGAAAAAAATTCGTCATGGGTGTTGCGAAGACGCCAATCTGGAATAGCAGAGCGTGGGTATTTCTTTTGTTGCGTCTGTTTGCGGTACTCCCACTCGCTAATAACACTAAAGCACTACCCCATGTATTTTTAAAATTAGTGGTACGAAACCCCGACTTCAAATAAACTAGGAGTAGTTGCCCATCGTCCTGGATGGTGGTGAAATTGGGTGCCTGAATTCGGTGGTGGGTAGGTGTTTTTAGTGGATCCCACAATCTGACAACATTCCATATTCCACTCCAGGGTACAAATATTCCTCCAATTCAGCAAGATTCCATTCGGAAAACCTAGTATTCCATCAAAGTCGAATCGCACATCCAATGTGGAGCTTTTCAGTTTGCCACTAACGAACGATCTCGTTCAGTTTCGCACAAACCTTCGTTACCGATTTGCAGAAGCGACCACCTGGCGGCGAGTTCACTGACGGCGTAGACAGCTTCGCACAAATCTCTGTAACCAGGGAATGCTGCCCCATCCTTTCACGGCTCGTGAAACGAGATGGGATGCGACATCCATGCTTTCACGGATCGTCGGTCCGAAGCGCACAATTCCAAATGTGAAGCATAAATTCACCCACTCTGCTCTGCTCTACACCAGATCACTCACTCAACTCCTGCTCTCGACTGAAACGAGTTCTGATCAAACCCAGAATCCTCCATTTTAATTTCTTCTGGGTACCATGGCTCACTCCTATCACACCCTCGCAGTGGCTCTCCTGATTGCTTCTTTCTCGTAGCATGCGCTCGCTGGCTTCATGGGCGGAGCATCGACCTTCGCAACTGTAAGTCTCAACTGACATCTATCCGTTTTGCCCTCACATCGATTCTATTACGCGTGACTCCATCGATTCCATCGATACCGTCAAACGCGGCGCGGTTCAGGATCTTCCACGGCTCATTTCTTATCAAAATCGTCCTTAACCCTGATATGTACTACATTTCAGGCCGGGGCAAAGCTCGTCGCGGCGTGGAACAAGGCCAAGCCGGGAGTCACCCAGGACGTGGTGAACTACGATGGGGTAGGATCGGGCGCCGGGATCACCGGATTCAACAGCGGCACTTACGTCATTGCTATCTCCGATGACACCATGACCACAGCGCAAGAGGGCGGTAGCACCTCCCCCAAGATCACCGTGCCGCTCTGCGTCTCCACCTTCAGTTTCTTCGTCAACGGCAAGCCCAACATCTGGATGACCGCCACCCAGACGTATCAGATCTACAGCGGCGCAATCGCCGCATGGGGCGCCGCCGTCCCTGGCTCGGTCGGCAAGGTCGCGGGCGCTATTACCCGCGTGGCGCGCAGCGACAAGTCCGGATCCACCGCGATTGTGAAGACCATGTGGAGCAAGGCCGTCTCGGGCTATGGCGACGGCACGGACGGCACTTCCATGACGTACACCGGCCTTAAGAAGGTGGAGGGCACCCAGGCCGTGTGCGACGCGATTGCCGCGACCAAGGGCGCCATTGGTTACGCGTTCACCGGTGCCTGCAGCGTGACTGCGAAGCGTCAGTTCGCGGCTGTCAAGAACGCTGCTGGCGTGGCCATTGTCCCCTCTAAATGGAAACCCGGAGCTGCGATTCCCACCACCCCGCCCGCCGCACCTGATGCTTCCTGGGCGAGCGTCGACTTTATCTACAAGGGCGGAGCTACGACCCCTCCCATGGTGTCTATGGAGTTCGCGTTCATCCGCAAGACGGTCAGCGGCGCGCAGGGCAGGATCGCCAAGGTGTTCATGCAGTATATGATTGTCTCTCTGAAGAAGAACGGTGGGTATGGGTTCAGTGCGACGCCTCCTGCTTGGCTCAACCCGTCCAGTGCCATGGTGAATGCCATTGTTGTGTCGGCGTAAGAGGTGCTTGTGGTATCTTCGGGTGCTTGTGTCACGCAGCATGAGGAGATCGCTCCTGGTCATGGTAGACGTTAGTCATCCATAGTTGGTCATGCATAGTATCAGCTGTGATTTTTTGTCATCCCCTAGCTTGCTCATTTGTTAACCATGTCGCGGTCTATATTGTCTCAAATGTGATGTGGTTGTGTACTACACTTTATGGAATCAAAATATTTTTTGTTAAGTGTGCTGGAAGTGTGGGTTTTGACACATAGCAAAAAAACCTGTTGGGTGGATAGTTGGAGCCGAAACTACAGTTGGTGTGCATGCGTTCTTACAGCCACAGCCAGAGGTGACATGCCAATAATGGGGTCACATGCAATGATGCAACGTGCAGGATGCATGCAGCTAACCCAGGTACCGTAGTACACTAAGCTAGGGGTGTGTTTCTGGGTGGGTGGGATGAATGCACTATCTCTAAAAGGATACAATACCATAGGATTACAGAACCAAGGGACTGATGCCCTAGGACAGCCCCCCTTGCTACATGGGTTTGGGTGTTGTACAACCACCATAAGCAGAGCGAGATAGATTACAAGGTCCCAGTATAAGGTGGAATACCAGGGATGACAATGAGTACCCCGTAAAACCATTGGCTGATGACTGCGGTGCATGAATTGTACCATACTGTAGGTATTCTTGTAACTACAGATACTTTGCAGTACAATAATACCATATGTATGCTACAAGGTCCATCACTATATTGGGCACCATTGCTATATGGGCCCTGCTAATATGTATGCTACCCTGTTAGGGTAGCTTTACTAGATCAGGTGATCCCGGCAGTATACTGGGAGACCTGATGCCTATGATTCCACAAGTGCAATGAGTGTGGAACTCAGAAACACTCTGCCCTTTTTTTGGAGCATTCGCAGGGATACTACCGGTAGCTGGTCACTGGGTTCGCAGGTGGGATGCCGCTACTTCTGGCGCTTGTAGATCTTCTTGAGGAACGACGTCAACGCCTCCTGCAAGCAGCACGGCAAGAGCAGCAAATGGAGAAAGAGGGGAGACTTCAGAGAGAGGAAGTGGGGAGGTGCTACTTGACTTCTGGCGCTTGTATATCCTCTTGGGTAACGACGTCAACGCCTCCTGCAAGCAGCACAGCAAGAACACGGCAAGAGGGAAAACGGGACAGGGAAGAAGTGAGGAAAAGAGCCAGCAGCAAAAGGGAAGCATTTCAGAGGGAAAACGCGAGGAGAGAGGTCGTTCGCTACTGGCGTTTGTTTATCCTGTCGAGGACGAACGTCAATGCCTCCTGCACGCAGCAGGGTAGCAACTGCAACTAACGCAGCAAAAGGGAAGACATGAGAGAGGGTAGACGCTATGAAAGAGGTCAGTTGCTGCGGCTTGTGGCGTTTGTATATCTTGTCGAGGAAAGATGTCACCAATGCCTCCTGCACGCAGCATGACAAGTGCAGCTAATGCAGCAAGACGGAAGACGTGAGAGGAAAACGAGAGGAAGGCAATCATCCTGCAAGCAGCACGCGGCAAGTGCAAGCAGGTGCAGGGCACAGCAAACCCAATATGACTTTCCCAATACTCGTCACTTTGACCATGTATAGCACACGGCAAGTGCAAGCAGGTGCAGGGCACAGCAACAGGGAAGATAAGAGCAGTGCGACTGTCACCAAGACAAGGCGTGACCCTCACATACATACCGCCATGTGAACCATCACTGCATCCCTTTTGAGGCGCCTCAAAAACCATCACATACATACCGCAATGTGAACCATCAGTGCATCCCTGCACGAGGACAGTGCAGCCCCTAATGCAGCCAAGTAGCACCTGTCTAGAAGGGCCCTGTCTCAGGGTCTCGCTGTGCACTCACCCTCAGGGGTGCACTCTCCACTTGGGGTGATTTCTGAAGCGCCTAAAAAGTCACCTCATTACATGCGGCTCATTGCACACTCACCCTCAGGGGTGCACTCTCCACTTGGGCGATTGCAGTTGTGATGCTCGCGTGGCTCTCCTTCTCATACTCTGCGAATGCATCCTGCAGCATGTCATCGGAGAGGGAGAGGGAGAGGGAGAGGGAGAGGGAGAGGGAGAGGGAGAGGGAGAGGGAAGAGGGGCAGGGAGAGGGAAGAGGGGCGAAATGGGTGGAGGGGAATGAGTGGAGGGGGGTTACAGTGGCTCTCCTTCTCATACTCTGCAAACGCATCCTGCAGCATGTCAGAGAGAGTGGGGTGAGGGGGAATTGGATGGAGTGAAACGAACGAAGTTGACTGACTGTGAAGTGGGTTTAAGAATAAATCCGGCCAAAACGCCAATAAAACGGCTGTCAGGTGAGTGTGAAAAAATGGACAGCTGAACGGACTTGCTTTGAGTCGACTAAAAAAAAGGACGAGTTTTTAGACGACTCAGAAACCAAAGCAGCAGAATAGGCTGTCAGCGGATTGTGAAAGTGGACGATTCCTGAGACGTCTCAGAAACCTAAGTGGCCGAAACGGCAGTCAGCGGAGTGTGAATGGTTGTGTGACAAAGGGGCTGCCATTCGTGTTTTGAGTCGACTCAAAACGCGACTCATTTAACGCTGCCATTCGGACAAGAAATCATTTGTGACCGCGGCAACTAGCACACCAGAAACCAGGCATGGCAGAGCAGCAGCAGCGCCAGCACCCTCAGGGCTGTCGCCCCTTTAGGCAGGCAGCACTATCTGTCAGACCTGCAGCAGTCTGACGTGCCCGTAACCATGGCCCGGCTCAACCAGACTCGTCATACCTGTATGTAGGTGTGGCAACTAACACACCACAAACCAGGCACGGCTGAGCAGCAGCAACACCAGCACCCTCAGGGCGGGCAGCAGAGACTGTCAGTCTGCCATGCAGCAGTCTCGCATACCCATAACCATGGCCTGGCCCAACCAAACTCATACCCGTGTGTAGCCGTGGCAAGTAACCGTGGCAAGTAACCGTGGCAAGTAACCGTGGCAAGTAACCGTGGCAAGTAACCGTGGCAAGTAACCGTGGCAAGTAACCGTGGCAAGTAACACAAGATTCTAGTTTTGAGACGTCTCAAAACAAGTAACACACGATTCTTTAGACGTATAAAAAAACCCAAACAAACTCATACCCGAATGTAGCCGTGTCAACTAACACACGATTTTTGAGACGTCTCGAATATCCCAACCAAACTCATAACCGTATGTAGCCGTGGGAACTAACACACGGTTCTTGAGACGTCTTAAAAATCCCTAACAAACTCATACCCGTATGTAGCCGCGGGAACTAACACACCAGAAACCAGGCATGGCTGATCAACAGCAACGCCAGCACCCTCTTGGGCGGGCAGCACCGCCTGTCAGCCATGCAGCAGTCTGGCATGCCCATAACCACAGCCTCGCCCAACCTAACTCACACCCGTGCACGACCTCAGACCAACTCTCATGAGTGCAAAGGCTTGGGCAGCTCAAAAGAGTGCAAATTCTTAGGCAGCTCTTACGAGTGCAAAGGTTTGAACAACTCTCATGAGTGCAAAGGCTTGGGCAACTCTGTTGAGTGGCTGAGTCACCGCACAGGCGAGCTGGCCGAGCACATCAGTTTTGCATGCACGCCCTGCTGCAAAGGGCCCTTGGTTTCCCAGAGGTTGCCTTTGAAGCAAGGGCAGGTTCCGGACGGGAGGCAAGGTGGAAGCTTGGAGCCTTGACCCCCGTCTGAGTGCATGCGGGGTAGCATAGCAGCACAAAGAAGCACTAAGCACTCTGCACCTTGATGCTTTCAAGGTGATTTCATGGTGCTTTCATGGTGCGTTCATCAAGACGTACCTCCGACTCAAAAATCACCCCCGGTGCAGCAGCACTCACTCACTCTCCATGTTGGCACTTTCATGGTGCCACACGCCAAACACACCTGCAGCTTCAAGTCCATGTACAGCTGCTTTATGGCCGCCACACAATGCTGGTGGCACTCAACCGCACTCAACCACACTCAACCACAGATTGAGCTGCACGCACCTGCAGCTTCATCTCCGTGTACAGCCGTTTTATGACCGCCACACACTGCTGGTGGCACATCCGAGATTCCACACAACACAACAGGCTGCTCCATGCACTCACGACAGACAGGCACAGGCTGATTTGAACGCACCTGCAGCTTCATCTCGGTGTACAGTTGCTTTATGACCGCCACACACTTCTCGTCCTTCTTGCCGTAGTTGCTCTGCGCTCAGGAGAGAGAGAGCAGGGAGGACAGGCGAAGAGAACGGCAGACGGACAGGACGGAAAGGAAGCAATGAGACGTAGCAAGAGCCAGACGGACAGGACGGAAAGGAAGCAATGAGACGTAGCAAGAGCTGCTCGTCCTTCTCGCCGCACTTGCTCTGCGTTCAAGAGAGAGGCAGGAAAGGCAGGTGAGGAGCTAGGTGGACTGAGAGGAAGGGTTTCGGGTTCCCCCTGTCTGTGTGTGTGTGTGTGTGTGTGTGTGTGTGTGTGTGTGTGTGTGTGTGTGTGTGTGTGTTTTATGTATTTATTTATTGGTGTGCAAGGGGCATGCACGAAGAGGGGGAGGGATAGATGGTCTAGGCGAACCGTATAGTGATTTGTATCTTTGCAGGCTGCAGCTTTGCAAGCACCGTGCCTGGTTCCCTACCACGCCCTCCCCTCACCTCAATGATCTGCCGCTGCTCCTGTGTGGCCCGCTGCAGCGCTTGCTAGAAAGCCAGCCAGCAAGCAAGCTTGGCAGAAGGCACTGTGCGTGCCCCCCTAAGCACGTCCGCTCTCACCTCAATGATCTGCCGCTGCTCCTGCGTGGCCCGCTGCAGTGCCTGCACCACGAGCCACGAGCACTTGGTGTCCTCTATGTCCGTGCCCACCTGGTGATGCACGGGGGTTGGGGGGTGGGGAAGGGGGGAGGGGTGAGGGGGTGTGGGTGACGTGACGAGACACACAAGGCACCTCTGCCTGTGATCAGCAGCACCACGAGCCACGAGCACTTGGTGTCCTCTATGTCCGTGCCCACCTGATGGACGGAGGGTAGGGATAGGGGTGGGGGGGGGTGAGGGGTGAGAGGTCAGGCAGAGATTGAGACGTGACATATGCCCGGGCCAGTGACCTGACCAGCAGCACCACGAGCCACGAGCACTTGGTGTCCTCTATGTCCGTGCCCACCTGGTGGATAAGGGGAGAGGGGTGAGGGGTGGGTGTGAGGGGTGAGGGGTCAGGCAGAGATTGACACGTGACATACGCTCGGCCAGTGACCAGCAGCACCACGAGCCACGAGCCACGAGCACTTGGCGTCCTCTATGTCTGTGCCCACCTGGTGAAGTGGGAAAGGGGAGTGGAGGGTGGGGGTGACAGACATAAGGCACCTCTGCCAGTGACACACACCTCTGCCTATCGTTAACAGCAGCAGCACGAGCCACGAGCACTACAATACGCCCACCTTGCCAATGACAGCGGGATCCCCGTAGCAGTCGAGCACGTCGTCCTGCACCTGGAAGTACGTCCCCATCACCACACCGAGTGATGACACGCTTCCTCCAAATGCCCCTCAGCCGACAGCTGCTCACACCTTCCCTATCACGGTGGGGTCGCCGAAACAGTTGAGCACGTCGTCCTGCACCTGGAAGTACGTCCCCATCACCACCACTCCACACCACACCTGCCCCCCACCTCCAACTCTAGACCCAGAACCCACATCACCAGCACATGCACTCCTGTGTTTGCAACTACTTTACCTTGCCAATGACAGCAGGGTCCCCGTAGCAGTCGAGCACGTCGTCCTGCACCTGGAAGCACGTCCCCATCACCACCACCACTGAAGCAAGCTTGGCCTCACACCCCCAATTCCTGACCCAAAACCACATCACCACCACATACGCTCCTGTGTCCCCAACGCCTCACCTTGCCAATGACAGCGGGGTCCCCGTAGCAGTCGAGCACGTCGTCCTGCACCTGGAAGTACGTCCCCATCACCACCAGGATCTCCCTCGCCTGTGCTGCAAGTGCTGCATCCTCCACCCCCGCCAGAATCAGCGCCGTCGCCACCTGGGGGAGAGGAGAGGAGGAGTGCAGGCAAAGGGAGAGACGCCTTTAAGTATTCTCCAAGCCACCCAGCCGGCCAGCAAGACAGCCAGCCAGCCAGCCAGCCAGCCAGCCAGCCGGCATCAGCACAGTAGGCTCCTAGAGTCTCCGAAGCAGTTCAGCACGTGGTCCCCATCACCACCAGGATCTCCCTCGCCTGTGCTGCATCCTCCACTCCTGCCAGGATCAGCGCCCTCCCAGGCAAGTGTGGGGTTTAGACACATGGCCCTGGTGTCGCTGCATCCTCCACTCCTGCCAGGATCAGCGCCCTCCCAGGCAAGTGTGGGGTTTAGACACATGGCCCTGGTGTCGCTGCATCCTCCACTCCTGCCAGGATCAGCGCCCTCCCAGGCAAGTGTGGGGTTTAGACACATGGCCCTGGTGTCGCTGCATCCTCCACTCCTGCCAGGATCAGCGCCCTCCCAGGCAAGTGTGGGGTTTAGACACATGGCCCTGGTGTCGCTGCATCCTCCACTCCTGCCAGGATCAGCGCCCTCCCAGGCAAGTGTGGGGTTTAGACACATGGCCCTGGTGTCGCTGCATCCTCCACTCCTGCCAGGATCAGCGCCCTCCCAGGCAAGTGTGGGGTTTAGACACATGGCCCTGGTGTCGCTGCATCCTCCACTCCTGCCAGGATCAGCGCCCTCCCAGGCAAGTGTGGGGTTTAGACACATGGCCCTGGTGTCGCTGCATCCTCCACTCCTGCCAGGATCAGCGCCCTCCCAGGCAAGTGTGGGGTTTAGACACATGGCCCTGGTGTCGCTGCATCCTCCACTCCTGCCAGGATCAGCGCCCTCCCAGGCAAGTGTGGGGTTTAGACACATGGCCCTGGTGTCGCTGCATCCTCCACTCCTGCCAGGATCAGCGCCCTCCCAGGCAAGTGTGGGGTTTAGACACATGGCCCTGGTGTCGCTGCATCCTCCACTCCTGCCAGGATCAGCGCCCTCCCAGGCAAGTGTGGGGTTTAGACACATGGCCCTGGTGTCGCTGCATCCTCCACTCCTGCCAGGATCAGCGCCCTCCCAGGCAAGTGTGGGGTTTAGACACATGGCCCTGGTGTCGCTGCATCCTCCACTCCTGCCAGGATCAGCGCCCTCCCAGGCAAGTGTGGGGTTTAGACACATGGCCCTGGTGTCGCTGCATCCTCCACTCCTGCCAGGATCAGCGCCCTCCCAGGCAAGTGTGGGGTTTAGACACATGGCCCTGGTGTCGCTGCATCCTCCACTCCTGCCAGGATCAGCGCCCTCCCAGGCAAGTGTGGGGTTTAGACACATGGCCCTGGTGTCGCTGCATCCTCCACTCCTGCCAGGATCAGCGCCCTCCCAGGCAAGTGTGGGGTTTAGACACATGGCCCTGGTGTCGCTGCATCCTCCACTCCTGCCAGGATCAGCGCCCTCCCAGGCAAGTGTGGGGTTTAGACACATGGCCCTGGTGTCGCTGCATCCTCCACTCCTGCCAGGATCAGCGCCCTCCCAGGCAAGTGTGGGGTTTAGACACATGGCCCTGGTGTCGCTGCATCCTCCACTCCTGCCAGGATCAGCGCCCTCCCAGGCAAGTGTGGGGTTTAGACACATGGCCCTGGTGTCGCTGCATCCTCCACTCCTGCCAGGATCAGCGCCCTCCCAGGCAAGTGTGGGGTTTAGACACATGGCCCTGGTGTCGCTGCATCCTCCACTCCTGCCAGGATCAGCGCCCTCCCAGGCAAGTGTGGGGTTTAGACACATGGCCCTGGTGTCGCTGCATCCTCCACTCCTGCCAGGATCAGCGCCCTCCCAGGCAAGTGTGGGGTTTAGACACATGGCCCTGGTGTCGCTGCATCCTCCACTCCTGCCAGGATCAGCGCCCTCCCAGGCAAGTGTGGGGTTTAGACACATGGCCCTGGTGTCGCTGCATCCTCCACTCCTGCCAGGATCAGCGCCCTCCCAGGCAAGTGTGGGGTTTAGACACATGGCCCTGGTGTCGCTGCATCCTCCACTCCTGCCAGGATCAGCGCCCTCCCAGGCAAGTGTGGGGTTTAGACACATGGCCCTGGTGTCGCTGCATCCTCCACTCCTGCCAGGATCAGCGCCCTCCCAGGCAAGTGTGGGGTTTAGACACATGGCCCTGGTGTCGCTGCATCCTCCACTCCTGCCAGGATCAGCGCCCTCCCAGGCAAGTGTGGGGTTTAGACACATGGCCCTGGTGTCGCTGCATCCTCCACTCCTGCCAGGATCAGCGCCCTCCCAGGCAAGTGTGGGGTTTAGACACATGGCCCTGGTGTCGCTGCATCCTCCACTCCTGCCAGGATCAGCGCCCTCCCAGGCAAGTGTGGGGTTTAGACACATGGCCCTGGTGTCGCTGCATCCTCCACTCCTGCCAGGATCAGCGCCCTCCCAGGCAAGTGTGGGGTTTAGACACATGGCCCTGGTGTCGCTGCATCCTCCACTCCTGCCAGGATCAGCGCCCTCCCAGGCAAGTGTGGGGTTTAGACACATGGCCCTGGTGTCGCTGCATCCTCCACTCCTGCCAGGATCAGCGCCCTCCCAGGCAAGTGTGGGGTTTAGACACATGGCCCTGGTGTCGCTGCATCCTCCACTCCTGCCAGGATCAGCGCCCTCCCAGGCAAGTGTGGGGTTTAGACACATGGCCCTGGTGTCGCTGCATCCTCCACTCCTGCCAGGATCAGCGCCCTCCCAGGCAAGTGTGGGGTTTAGACACATGGCCCTGGTGTCGCTGCATCCTCCACTCCTGCCAGGATCAGCGCCCTCCCAGGCAAGTGTGGGGTTTAGACACATGGCCCTGGTGTCGCTGCATCCTCCACTCCTGCCAGGATCAGCGCCCTCCCAGGCAAGTGTGGGGTTTAGACACATGGCCCTGGTGTCGCTGCATCCTCCACTCCTGCCAGGATCAGCGCCCTCCCAGGCAAGTGTGGGGTTTAGACACATGGCCCTGGTGTCGCTGCATCCTCCACTCCTGCCAGGATCAGCGCCCTCCCAGGCAAGTGTGGGGTTTAGACACATGGCCCTGGTGTCGCTGCATCCTCCACTCCTGCCAGGATCAGCGCCCTCCCAGGCAAGTGTGGGGTTTAGACACATGGCCCTGGTGTCGCTGCATCCTCCACTCCTGCCAGGATCAGCGCCCTCCCAGGCAAGTGTGGGGTTTAGACACATGGCCCTGGTGTCGCTGCATCCTCCACTCCTGCCAGGATCAGCGCCCTCCCAGGCAAGTGTGGGGTTTAGACACATGGCCCCAGAAAGGGAGAGGAGAGCGCGTATGGATTCTGTAGTCGACTTTGAAAATCTTCCAACGATAACCAGCCAGTCAGCATCACCACAGTCACTAGCTACTGGGATCAATGAAGTTGTGAGATGCCTTGACAGTCTTCTATTTTTCCTCGATGAAACAGCTTGTGAGAACAATCAAGCATGCTTGCAAGAGATGAGGGAGGGCGGAAGGGAGGAGCACGGAAAATTCTCACAGGGAGGTAGAACGAGTAGTAGGTGTCCTATAGTGCACGAAAAGGTGATTTTTGAGCTCAATTTCTTACTGCACGAAAAGGTGGTTTTTTAGCTCAATTTCTTACTGCACGCACGCAGCTCACTGAGCTATGTCTGGATCTCGGATGTCCTTTAGTGCACGAAAAGGTGTGAAACAACTGAAAACACACTTGAATTGACCGAACACCATTTGGGTTGAGTTGACTAGAAACACACCAGGAAGGGAGGAAAGTGCGAATGATGCTTACAGGGAGGTAGAAGGAGTAGTAGGCTGTCTTGTACTGCACAATCTTTAGGTAGCTGGAATGGGATATGGGAGAACATGGGGGAGGGGGAGGGGGGGGGGGGGGGGAAGGGATGGGGAAAGGGTTGGGGAAGGGTTGGGGAAGGGAGGTGCAGAAAAGGAGAGGGATGCAAAAGGGGCGGGAGGGAGTGAGGCACGTGGGTGGGCGCACGGTGTAGAGAAAGGCACCATGCAGGATGGATGGTGGATGGATGAAAGTGGTTCAAGTCACCATGCTTGCAGATGTGCTGCAGATTAGCAGTGACAAGAATGGGAATGAGGGATGGAATGCACACGACACGTGCACATGATATCTTGCCACGGTATGTATAACCACGTGGATATGATATTGCCTGAATGATTCCACATGGGCATGGCGTATTGAGGCAGTTTACCCACATGAACATGGTGTATTCCCACAGTATACCCACGTGGACATGGTGTATTTGTTGAGATCCACCTCCCCCTCGGGAGTGGTAATAAGGTCGAGCATCTGGCCACAAGCCGTCTGGTATGTCACCTGAAGGGGGCAGGGTTGGGGGGGGTAGAAAAGAGCGGGAGAAGAGGAGGGAAGATGAGGGGATAAGGGGGTCAAGCATCTGCCTAAGCACGGTCTGGTACGTCACTGGGAGAGGAGAGAGGGGGAGGGGGCACGGGTGGGGAAGAGGGGAGAGGTGGGGAGAAGAGGGGAAGAGGAGAAGAGGGGAGGGATAGAGACGATTGAAAGGAGTGGCGAGGTAGTGATGAAGTCGATGGTGTGCCTGCTCGTTACGAAGGAGGGAACAGTGCAGGCGGGTGGCTTGTTTGTGAAGCATCAATCAGGATTCAGGGATAGGGAAGGGAGGAGAGGAATGCAAGAACAGGGAGTCAGGGAAAATGGGGGAGAGGGAGCAGCGTACCTCATTAAACAGGTCGAGCAGGCGGGTGTAGGCGGGATGGGAGGAGAAGTGGCGGCGGAGGATGAGGAAGATGTGTGAGTTGAGCAGCACACCATCGTTGATGGCGATCATCCCCACCTGTAGGCATGCATGGTGCATGGGTACATGGGAACATGGGTACATACATGGGAGCATGGGTACATGGGAGCATGGGTACATGGGAGCATGGGTACATGGGAGCATGGGTACATGGGTGCATGGGAACATGGGTGCATGGGAACATGGGTACATGGGTGCATGGGTGCATGGGTGCATGGGTACATGGGAGCATGAGAACATGGGTACATGGATGCATGGACGGGTAGGGGTAGGCATTCAAAGTGCAGGATGGGGAAGATGTGTGAGTTGAGCAGCACGCCATCGTTGATCGTGAGCATGCCCGCAGCCCACCTTCAGGCCGCCAAACAGGCATGGGTGCATGGGTGAGTGGATGCATGGGCGCATGGGTGAATGGGCGAATGCACGGATGAAGGGGGGGGAGCATGTGTAGGCATGCAAAGCTGGGGATGAGGAAGATGTGCAAGCCTTACCCTGTGCATTGCCACTCACCTTGTCCACATGCGCCCTGTGCACCGCCCACTCACCTTGTCCACACACGCCCTTGTGCATGCACTGCCCACTCACCTTGTCCATGCGGTACCAGCACGGCTGGCCTCGGCGGGTGATGGAGCTATCCATGATGTCATCGACCACCAGGAAGTAGGCCTGCAGCTGCAGGGGCAGAAGGAAGGGCAGCAGGAGGAGAAGAAGGGAGGAGGTGAGGGAGGAGGGGGGTCGTGGTGACGGGATTCAGGGCGGGTGATCGAGCTAGCTATCCATGATATCATCGACCACCAGGAAGTTGGCCTGCAGCTGTAGGGAGTAGCAGGGGGGAGGACGGCAGCGGGAAGGGAAGGTGGTTCGGGTGGGAAAGGGGGGTGAGGGAGCCGTGGGGAGGGTCAGGGCGGGTGATGGAGCTAGGCTAGCCATCCATGATATCATCGATCATCAGGAAATAGGCCTGCAGCTGTAGGGGGAGGGGTCGCAGGGCAGGGGGGAGGGCGGCAGGGGGGTGGGAAGGGCGGGCGGGTAATGGAACTATCCATGATGTTGTCGACCACCAGGAAGTAGGCCTGCAGCTGCAATGGGGGGCAGGGAGGAGGGGGTGGGTGGGTGGGGATGCATGGAGGGCTGAGAAGATGGTGTGATGGAGAGAAGAGCCCTGGCGGGTGATGGAGAGAAGAGACCTGGCGGGTGATGGAGAGAAGAGCCCTGGCGGGTGATGGAGAGAAGAGCCCTGGCGGGTGATGGAGAGAAGAGCCCTGGCGGGTGATGGAGAGAAGAGCCCTGGCGGGTGATGGAGAGAAGAGCCCTGGCGGGTGATGGAGAGAAGAGCCCTGGCGGGTGATGGAGAGAAGAGCCCTGGCGGGTGATGGAGAGAAGAGCCCTGGCGGGTGATGGAGAGAAGAGCCCTGGCGGGTGATGGAGAGAAGAGCCCTGGCGGGTGATGGAGAGAAGAGCCCTGGCGGGTGATGGAGAGAAGAGCCCTGGCGGGTGATGGAGAGAGGAGCCCTGGCGGGTGATGGAGAGAAGAGCCCTGGCGGGTGATGGAGAGAAGAGCCCTGGCGGGTGATGGAGAGAAGAGCCCTGGCGGGTGATGGAGAGAAGAGCCCTGGCGGGTGATGGAGAGAAGAGCCCTGGCGGGTGATGGAGAGAGGAGCCCTGGCGGGTGATGGAGAGAAGAGCCCTGGCGGGTGATGGAGCTATCAAGGCATGATGCCGTCGACCACCAGGAAGGATCCCTGCAGCTGCAGAAGGATCAGAAGGAAGGGCGGCAACGGGAGGCGGGGGAGGGGGGGAGGGGGGGTGGGCGCAGTGGAGGGTGTTAGGCCGGGTGATGGAGCTATCCAGCCATGATGCCGTCGTCGACCACCAGGAAGAAGGCCTGCAGCTGTCCATGGCTGAGGGGACATGGGGAAAGGGACACGGAGGGGAGATGGGAGGTTAATAAGAATTCTCAAAAGCCTTGGCGGCGGGTGATGGAGCTATCCATGATGCCATTGATCACCAGGAAGGATCCCTGCAGCTGCAGGGGGGGCAGATGGGGCAGGGGGGGCAGATGGGGCAGGGGGGGCAGATGGGACAGGGGGGGCAGATGGGACAGGGGGGGCAGATGGGACAGGGGGGGCATCGATGGCATGAGGAAGGCAGGGAAGACAAGGTTCTTGACAGTTTTCAAAAGACTTGGCGGGAGAGAAGGAGAATCGAGCCATGAATCCATGATGTCATCGACCACCAGGAAGTATCCCTGCAGCTGCAGGGGGTGGCAGGCGGGAGGGCGGCAGGGGGAAGGGAAGGGGGGGTTGGGTTGGGGCAGGGAGAACTCTCAAAAGCCTCGGCAGGAGAGGAGGAGGATGGAGCCATGAATCCATGATGCCATCGACCACCATGAAGTATCCCTGCCTGCAGCTGCGGGGGGGGGCCATGGATTGGAAGGGGGAACGACTGGGCAGAGGCGGGGTGGCATGGGTGAGCGAAGGGGGGGCATGGGGTGAGAGAGATGGTGCATGGTTATGGTTGAGAGGTAAAACGCCAAAAAAGCAGCACCCATTTGTATGAGCACGGCACGTCAGCCAGCCTTACCCAATCGATTTGATGCAGCAGCCATTTGCATTCAATGCAGCAGAAGTCAAAACCATTAGATGCACCAGCCATACCCATTCAGTTCACCACCAGCCATGCACACTCAATGGATCACCCATAGGGCCATAGCCATTCGATGCAAAGTTTTGAGGCGCCTCAAAACGCATCACTCATAGGGCCATACCCATTCGATGCACCATCCGACAGCACTGGCTTTGAAGACCTCATCGTCCGATAGCTTATCGAAGCCGCCCTTGAGAATCCCCACCGTGTCCACCACTGATAGCCCCCGGTTCAGCTTGCCTGGCGTACACAGGGGGGAGTGGGGCAGGGAAGGGGACAAGCAAAAGGGATGGGAAAAGTGTTTGAGGCACATAACACACAGGGAAGGCTATGGGAAACTGGCCCAAATAAAGCCGCCCTTGAGAATCCCCACCGTGTCCACCACTGATAGCCCGTGGTTCAGCTTGCCTGGCGCACAGGGGGAGGGGGAGGAGAAGAGGGTGAGAGGCACAGCGCACATGGGAAGGTGAATGGGAGCCGGTCTGACTGAAGATGCACTTGAAAGTTCTTCCTGTGACCACCAACCCGCCATGCCCACCACCCCCCGGCGTCAACCACCCCCCTGTGCCCCACACTGCGTTGAGCAGAGTGTGTTGAGCAGAGTGCTTTGATCAGAGTGCGTTGAGCAGAGTGCGTTGAGCAGAGTGCGTTGATCAGGGTGTGCCATAAATATGAGACTTCTGAGGCGAGATGTGCGTGGCGACGTGGCAGCAGCATACCTCCGGGCACATTGTGGTCGATGTTCTGATGAGTGAAGCGGTCCCACCAGCCGAGCCGAGCCAAGCACAGAGGCGACACACGAGAGTAGATTCGAGGGTCACGATGGCGCGCACATGGGGACGGGGACAGCGAGGGCCATGGGGGGAAGATGGGAAGGGGGATGGGAAGGAGATGGGGAGGAGTTGGGAAGGAGATGGAGGGGCGATGGGGAGGAGATGCGGAGGAGTTGGGAGGGCGATGTATTCAGAGAGGAGAGGAGGGGTGAGCATGAAAAGAGGGTCCAACACTGCATGTAATCTTCAGCACAGGTGTCTAGTAGCCTACAAACAGTGCCTACACTGCATGTAATCTTCAGCACAAGTGTCTAGTAGCCTACAAACAGTGCCTACACTGCATGTGATCCCACACGCACCTTTTCCATCCACGCTTTCGAGTCCAGCGTGCACGCGAACAGCTTGTCTTCCCCCAGCAGCTCCGCCACTGCATGTGGAGCTTGAGCCTCTTACAGCCTCTACCCTGCACTGCATGTGATCCGCAGCACAGCACGTCATCCTGCACGCACCTTCTCCATTCTCGCTTTCGATTCCAGCGTGCACGAGAACAGCTTGTCCTCTCCAGCAGTTCCGCCTTGACCTGCTTGAGCCTCACAGCCTCTCTACCGTACAATGCAAGTGAGCACCTAGTGATCCGCATCACGTCATCCTGCACGCACCTTCTCCATCCACGTTTTCGAGTCCGGCGTGCACGAGAACAGCTTGTCTTCGCCAGCAGCTCTCCCTTGAGCTGCTCAAGTCTCATACAGCCTCTACCCTACACTGCGAGTGATCCGCACCACGTTACCCTACACGCACCTTCTCCATCCACGTTTTCGAGTCCGGCGTGCACGAGAACAGCTTGTCTTCCCCCAGAAGCTCCGCCTTGAGCTGCTGGAACACGCCCAAGAACCGCTCGCGATCCATGGCGCCGGCACTCCCGCTGCTGCTGCTGCTGTTGCTGCTGCTGTTCCTTTTCCTGGAGGGTGACGCGCTGCTTGCCTTGTCCGCGCTTGGTATGCTGCCGCTCTGAGGGAATTGACAAAGGCGTGCGATAGGAGCATGCAAAAACGATCGCGAAAGTAACGCGAAAAGAGCGCGGAAAGATCGCGGGAAAGGCACGAAAACGGCGCGGAAAGGAAGGGGGGTACGCAAGGGTGCGAAGGCGACGAAATGCGCGAGATTGGGACCCTTGTCCAAAGGAAGTAAAGGCATATTGAATCGTCTCAGGCTATATTACAAGAGAAAGGTAAGAATGCATGCGGATTCGTAACTTTAATGAAACATGGTTCTAGCCAGAATGTGTAGGCGGACTGGTATTACTAAAACAAGTGTAGTTACCAGCGGAGAGACTCTCCACAGCTGGAGAGCCCTTTCGCAGCCTTCTCCAACCACTTATGTCGATTCAACGTCAAATCGACAATCGGAGCTTCTATTGATAAAAATGAACAATGCAGCGACTCATCGAACCGGAGAAAACCTCACGCACTAACCGCGGATGGTGACTCTTTTCTTGGAAGACTCCCCGCAGTGGAGTCACCGGCGCAAGGAGCGGTGACGCTTAAACAGCGGTACGAAAGAGAAGACGCGAGGAGCCTGTGGACGGCGCGCGAGCGGATCATCAACCGGCAAACAGACGATGGCTTTAACTACCAGTCTGAGCAGGTACCGATATGAGCAAATAATAAAATGCATACGAAAGGCAAGCGGCCTTTGCGGCACTGCTCAGACCAGATGGATTTTCTGGTCGCTGATGGATCATGTGGCAGCAGTGCGGCTGGTCTGGTCCAACAGGGTGCAGAAAAGAGTGATCACTGATTTGCTCGGAAAGAATTGTGGTGGTGGTCAGGCCTTGGGATTTGTGGAGATGTGAGCATGGGCATGAAATGAGCATGAGCGTGGGGTGGGGCAACCGTGAGTGTCAGGCGAGGCCTCGGGATCTGCGGCGATGAGACGAGTTCTGGCGAAGAATTCCAGAGAACTGAGAGCGGAATCGGTGGGAATTTGAAGCTTGGCGACGCTCATACCGCAGATTGGTGCACCACATGTTACCCCTAGTACTGATGCGAGTTGATTCTATGTAAGAATACATGAAATACATATAACTCAAAGCACATCACGTTGTCAAACTACATTCATGATCATTAGCCTATACTAATTCATCGATAGACTATAATATGATATGGCCGACATGCTGATACATCAAAGGGGTTAATAGTTCCAGTTGTTTTCCCCGAAATTTGTTATTTTTATAAATATGAAATAGTGATAATGCAGATGCATATGGATTGAATTTCACCGTAGAAACCTTGCATATGCAGCGGAGGGCAGCAGCTGCTGCAGAGCGGAGGGCAGCAGCAGCTGCAGAGCAGATGGCAGCAGCTGCTGCAGAGCGGAGGGCAGCAGCAGCTTCAGAGCGGAGGGCAGCAGCAGCTGCAGAGGGGAGGGCAGCAACAGCTGCAGAACGGAGGGCAGCAGCAGGTGCAGATCGGGGTGCAGCAGGGGCTGCAGAGCGGAGGGCGACGGCAGCCGCGGAGGGAAGGGCAGCTGCTGCTGCAGGGTGGTGGGCTGCAGCTGGCGAGGCTGCCAGGGGGGGGAGCAGCAGACGGAGTCGGGCATGGGGGTTCCGTCGGCGGGCTCGATCGGAGAGGAGTGCCCAGACCCCACGCTGACACCCCCGCCTCGGATCCCGTGCGAAACCTGTTATCGCTGTTGGGCTGAGAAAAGCCCTTAGGATCTTTCAGGACTAAGATCAGGTGTTGACGTAGAGATGTTGTAATTGCGGAAGCGTTTAATAAAGGTTGCTTGAACCACCTTGTACTGGTGTGTGAGAACAAGATAAGATAATAATAACTAAGAGATACAAGCCTTTTATATGATTACAAAGGAATATGAAAGGTTCTACTTTAACTGTTTTTGCTGTTGCGGTTCGATATAGTGCCGACTCGGGTAACTGCTCAGTAACGAGTCAGTTATGTGTCCTTGCTGTCGCACTGTACGTTTCGTCAAGTCAAAGGTCGGAGACCTTTGACCTTCGCGTAACCTCCGACGGTTGCTTTGGTTGACTCGAGTGTTTCTTCGCTGTAGTCAGCTCCGTTTCGTGTCGACGCTTCGATACGACAGAAGCGTTTAAATTACTTGTTTCCAACACTCCCCTTCGCTTCTGGAGTATCGCTGCTGATGACGTGTCCTTGTCCAGTCAGCAGCATGCTGTCAGATTTATATGACATAGCTACTGTAGGCTATAGTGGGGTAGCACATATGGGGTACAGGTTTTCTAGGGTTTGCTTCTTGTACCCAACTTTCACCTAGTCATTCTCATTCCTCGTTTCTTCTCATGGTATCGAGCAGGTTCCCTAGTGGGAACGATTCCTAGGGCCCACCACCACGAATTTTTTTTTTCCTGCCCGGAGCGCGTTTTGCGCCGGCCCGAGTCGCGCCGCCCTTTCGGCCCGTCGCGCCCGTCGCGCCCGTCGCGCCCGTCGCGCCCGTCGCGCCCGTCGCGCCCATCGCCACCTACCTCCGCGGCCCCGCCACCTATCTCCGCGGCCCCGCCACCTACCTGTGCGGCCCCGCTACCTACCTTCGCGGCCCCGCCACCTCATTCAGCGGCCCCGCCACCTACCTGTGCGGCCCCGCCACCTACCTTCGCGGCCCCGCCACCTCACTGTGCGGCCCCGCCACCTACCTCTGCGGCCCCGCCACCTACCTCCGCGGCCCCGCCACCTACCTGTGCGGCCCCGCCACCTACCTTCGCGGCCCCGCCACCTCACTGTGCGGCCCCGCCACCTACCTCCGCGGCCCCGCCACCTACCTGTGCGGCCCCGCCACCTACCTTCGCGGCCCCGCCACCTCACTGTGCGGCCCCGCCACCTACCTTCGCGGCCCCGCCACCTCACTGTGCGGCCCCGCCACCTACCTCCGCGGCCCCGCCACTTACCTTTGCGGCCCCGCCGCCTCCTCCCAGCGGCCCCGGACGCCGCCCTCTCAGCGGCCCCAGCCAAGCCGCCCAGCCGCCGAGCCGCCCAGCAGCCGAGCCGCTGAGCCGCCCAGCCGCCGAGCCGCCCTGTCCGCAGCCGAGCCGCCCAGCAGCCGAGCCGCCCCGCCGCCGAGCCGCCCAGCCGCCGAGCCGCCGAGCCGCCGAGCCGCCGAGCCGCCCTGTCCGGTAAGAGCAGCGCCTCTCTCACAGCACTGCCCTCGCCCTACTGTTTGCACTGCTAGTCTACTGCTGTCATGGCTACCCCTAGTGTCCTCGCTTTTGACGCTGAGGGTCGGGCCATTGATTTTGAAGTCTGGATAGATGACCTGCAGCTTTTCTTACAGTGCGACAGAGCAGACGGCCTCTCCCTCTTTGACCTCACTTCTGGTGCCTCTCCTGCCCCCGCTGCTGATGCTGACGCCACCGTTCGCTCACAGTGGGCCACGCGCGATGCTGCTGCACGTCTTGCTGTGCGTCGCCACCTCCCTACCTCTGAGCGTGCGCACTTTAGCCAGTACAAGAGTGCTCAGACCTTGTACGACGCTGTAGTTGCACGCTACTCCTCCCCTGCCACTGCTGCACTGAGCCGCCTCATGCTACCGTACCTCTTCCCTGACCTTACTGCCTTTCCCACAGTCGCTGACCTCATTACGCACCTCCGCTCTAGTGACACTCGCTACCGCGCTGCGCTTCCTGCTGAGTTCTGCGCCAAGAACCCCCCCCCCCATGTACATCACCCTCTACTACATAGTCACCCGTCTCCCTGACTCCCTTCGCGTAGTCAGGGACCACTTCCTCTCGGTTTGTCCCACCACTCTCACCGTTGACCTCCTCGAGAAGGCCCTCCTCGCAGCAGAAAAGAGCATAGTCGCTGTAGGAGCCTCTCGTGGTGACCCTCGCACCCCCATCTTTGAGGGGTGTTCCCCCTCCCCTCTTTTGCCCTCTGTTGCCTCTGCTGCTGCGGCCGACCTCGCTGGTTTGGAGTCGGTTGGTGCAGCGTCTACCCCTAGCGG